CACATGTCACCATCAGATGCGTTCATCGATTAGTCATCACTTAGGATGCTTAGGAAACTTGAGCACGCAAATGACACTGCGAATTGGTAAGCATAGTTACAATGCAGTTGATCCGTAAGCTGAGAATTTTACTACACGCGCGCTGCGTTGAGCTGTAAATATTCCTTATAATCAATACCGCAAAGCTTATACAGTCGAATCTCAATAATTCGAACTCAAAGGGGCCCGAAAATTCGTTTGAAATAAAAAAAAGTTTGAATTAATGAAAGCTGAGTAAATGGAGGGTTCCCCATGTAGTGGCGCATTTGCATTGAGCTAACACTTGAGGGGGAAGTTTCAGAAGACTTACATTTATTCACAAATCGCAGGACATCCGTCATTAATTGAAGCAATCGGTGATGCGCGTCTGCACACGTTTGCCTTGCAGAGAGTCAATCAATTTCGCACGCAGCTTGCAAAGCATGTCTACTTCGGCTTCAGCATTCTCCTAGCAAGAGAAGTTGTGCGCGGAATTGTCCAGCGCCGACACTCTCTAAAGACGGCGACAACAACGACTGCATCTCCGCTACTACCCTCTGCGCCTAAGCTGCAGCGTGGCCAGCACGTGACGAGAAAGGAGGAGCAACTCGACGCGGAGAAAAGCAGATTGGCATTTGAGAGAGAACCAACACTCCACAACAGCTTTTTTTTTTCGGCTTTCCTCGCATGCATCTTTGAAAGGAGAAGGGTTACGTGGCAGACACGGGAAAGGGGAAAGCGTGGCACCGGCGCGTGAGAGAGAGCCACACTCTGCGACAACTTTTTTTTCTCTCTTTGTGCATGGCGTTGGAAGGAGAAGGGTCTTTACGTGGCAGGGGTGGAAAATGAAGAAGCGTGGCACAGGCGCGTCGCAGATCTGCATTTGAGAGAGTTGTTCCTTTCCTTCGTGCACAGCGTTGAGGTGTCTGAGGTGCCGCTGTGGGATTGGAGGGGTTGCTGAGCATTTTTGGAGCACAGTATGTTCGAATTAACCGTCGCAAGTGCTTGCGTGTTTGAATTACTGTGCGTTTTCACCCATTGGGGTACACATAGCTTTGACGGGACATCACCGTGAGCTCAAATTAACCGGAAGTTCGAATTAAGCATATTTATGGTGCACTTTCATACTTGTAGTCCCGAGGCTCAAAAGAAGTTAAATATATAAGGTAAAATATTTTGTTCGCATTATCCAGAAAATGCTCAGTTGCAGTTCTTTAACTGCTAAAGTTCCCAATGGGGCTTGTTTGTATCGCATTTACTGATTACTCAGGTAAAAAGACAAAATACACAATAATTGGGGCACAAGAAAGGCACACTGCGCCAGGTGTCACCATGTCCCTTTCTTGCGTTCCTTCTTTCTTTTCTCTAACATAAATGCCAATTTTTTTTTAAACAGCATTGTTTGACCACCAGCCGGCCGACACGTCAGCACCAGAATCACTAAATGGAGCTGAAAAGCTAGAAAAAGTAAGTATTTGCCAGACATCTCTGTCGAGAATTATGTTACGCCTTGCTTTAATCGATTTTTGTTTATTTTCTTCGTGCACTGCTTCATCAAACGGTTTGTTGGCCTTCTCAAGGTTTTTCAAGGTCTCTCAGTAAAAACACTAAGACATCATTGTCATCGTCATTGCATTGTATACAATATTGATAATGACGATGATAATAATAATTATTATTATTCTTAATATTCTAATTGATGATAATATAACCTAAAATAATTATTTATTATGTGGTACTTTAGCTTTATTTTCGTTTCAACCCCCCCCCTCCCCTCAGACAGCAATCCTGAGTGCGCTATTGTAGATACGTATACATATACAGTGAATTACGGGCGTAATGGCGACGACAAAAAACCAGCCAAGACTATGGCAATAAAAAAAAAGCAAGGCTGAACGTCGTCGGCAGCCTGTACGCACAGTGAAACTATGCACATGCACATGGCGTTGAAAACGAAGAGCGAACGACACAGACACAGACACCGATACTGCGGAAAACTATGCGGTAAAGCCCTCTCCATATGCAGCGCAGCCCCACATATGTGACGCTAACAAAAAGCGTGGCACTGCCAATGCGTAAAAGTAGTTTTCTTTTCCTTTTTTTTGTTTGAAGTGGGGGAGTGGGGGTTGGGGGGTGGAGGACACCCGCGCATGCACCCGTTGTGGCGAGAACGGCGGCAACGTGGGTCATGGTGTGCACTGTGTAGGCCTGCCTGCGCGCCTCATGCCACGCGCGCGCTATAACAAGCGCTCACTTTCGCCTGATATGCGGAACACACCACCACCGCTTCGCGCTTTGTCGGCGACGGGCAGCCACGGAAGATGCATGCTTGTACCAAAATGTTGAAATGCAGTTGTCTCCCGCTCATACTTTGTTACATAGAGGCCGCAAATACATTTGCTTTTATGGAGCAATGGCGGGGAATAGAAAAACTTCGTTATATCGTGAAATTCGTTATATTGAGTTTCGTTATAAGCAAGTTTACCTGTATACGTTTCTGAATTCATCTCCATTTCTTTTCTCGCGTCGACCCGTATTAGCGTATGCTGGCTGAAGTACGCCGTTCGCGACCAGCGAGCATCACACACTTGAAAACAACTGTCGTGATCTTTCTTATTCAATCAGGGCATTCTACCACCATTGAAGACCGAGTATTCATGTTCTTAAGCGGTTCATTCATGCAAACATACGACAGAGTGAGCTAGTTCGACTACAGTCGTCTTTGCTAAGTGCACTAAAGCAGGCACGGCACTACAAATGACTAATAAGAACAAAATACATGAAAATTGTCTCCAAGCGTGCATGCATACAAACGTGCACATAACTTTCCAGGCATGTGCAAGATGTAGCTAGCAGGCGACAGGTCACCACGTTGTTCACGGAAGGAAGCTTCACGGGAAACGCAACTAAAGCAATAAACAGTAGCTTCAAACACTTACCACCACTCGTAATCAATCCATCTCGCACGACAGAACAGGCTTTAGAAGATTACACTAGGCGTAATGACAAGCAAAAGCGCAGTCCCCAAGCACCCACATTGCTATTCGTCAAGTCCTTAAGAAGATGGCGGTAGGCACGTATCGTATCTTTTCGGTGTCTGCTAGCCCGGAACCTGCCCAAAATCCTTTAGAAGAGCTTCCACAACTAAATTGTCCTGAAAACGTCTGGCTACCCTCGAGCTCCCCGCGGGTAGCCAGAACCGTCCAACCCGAGAAAAACGAAGGGGGGTCGGAGCAGTCCGAGAAAAATTAGCGCGCTCTGGCTGGCTCTTGCAGCCCGCGGGTAGCCAGAAGTGGAAAATCGAACAAACCGAGGCTTCATTAATGGCGAAGCCCACTTGGACTCTGATGCAACAATATTTACACAACCATAATCACTCAAGCTCAGACTCATTACAATTTTTCTCAGCTGATCCTTGTCCCCCTCGAACACACCAAAACATTACTTGCGTGGACACACTTAAACTCAGACTAACAGCCCGATCTAAGTCTGAGTAAGTCGGAGTGGGTTGGCCAGCTTATGGGTTCACTGGACGTCAGCTGTTGAGACAAGTAATTGCTAACCAGTTTGAAAGTGCATCACAATCGGAAGACATTTTTGAAGAAGCCTATGTAGCATGCTGATTCTGGCTAGCACAAAAGTGGCAATAATCAAGCAACCACTTTTTTCGAAGCTTGTAAAAAATTTTTATTTTCCAGATAGGTTTCTTGTTTGTTTTATTATTGACAAATAAGCAACACATTTTTATCCATATAAAATGTTTTCCTCTCGGTCACTATACTAAATTTTGAATATATTCTTTTTTGAAATAGGCCCTTTTGAAGATTTTTGTTTTAGGTTTGTGTATGCCTCACTGTGTCTTGGATAAAAAAATTTGTAGGCAGGAGTTGTGCTCGATCCGACATTCCGACAAGCGAACTTGTCTTCCTCAAGACTAGAACAGAGCTGTTCTGTTCTAGCCTTGGGGAAGACGAGTCCCGTTGTCGAAACATTGGCTCAAACTGCTGTTTATGAATTTGCTTCATTTCAAGCTTCCATCTTCTTCTTACTGTTGTTACTTAAATTTTTACTGTGTCTTCATTTTTCAAGCGCATCCAAAATATTATTTAAATCTGCACAAAAAAAAAAAACGCATAAACCAAGTCAGGAAGAAAAGTGCGCTGCATTTGGCAAAAAAAATAAATAAATAAAACCCTCCAGGGGTTATGGACCAGTCAATGCTATTGATAAGAAATAAATGACAATTGATCAGCACCCTGGACAAAGTCATTATGATCCTCTCTTCTGTTATAAGCCTGTTCCATTTTCAAACAGGAGTAAACTAAAATGAAATAAGTGAGAATTTTGACAAAGGTAATCACATGTGAGCAAGCCTATTAGTAAGTCATCTGCTGAAGTCAGTGGCATAAAATTAGCACTTTTAAGTTCTGCTTGAAGTCATGCTGTCTGTTTTTGTAATTTCTTGGACTCTTTTTGACAGATGCAGATGACTGATATGCTGTTTCTTTCTCAAAAATAAGTAGTTCAGAGCTTGCTTGTCAACTTCAATTTGTCCATGAAGTTGAATGCAGCGTACTGCAATTTTGCAATTTTACTACGAATAGTCACCCTCTCACCCAAGCTCCTGTTCTAACGCTATATACTCATGGCACTGTTTGCACATGTGGCCATCAGGAATTCGCAGCCATCTGTTCGCACTGCATGGATAAAACAGCCTGTGCATTATTCAACTAGGCTGCGATTATTAACTTTTAAGAGACCTTGCTACTCCACACTTTTTGTACTTTGGAAGGTAAAGAAAAAAGTGAGCATGATACGACCTATTCACACAGTGTACGGTGCCAGAATGTATGGTGAGAAGTTAGCTCAGGAAAGGCCCATGGGCACATGTGAAGCAGCCTTCTGCTTGCCAAGATCTCAAAAGATAGTACAAGAGTGCCTGCTATGGTTGATGTAGCAGAAACTCCTTCACGAGAACCCACCCTGGGTGTCGGGCGCCTGTTGTGGCCAAGCCTGACCCAAGGCATTGAAGGCCACCTCCTGGAACTGCAGCTGCAACTCCAGGTCAAAGGCCTCCTGGTCGTCCTCGGCAGCTTCCCCACTTCGGCTGGCTGCATACTGTCCCCAAGGAATTGGAAAAAGCCCTCAAAGTCATGTTCACAAGAAGAAACATGCCGGGTCGTTAAAGCTTCTTTTCCTTGGTGTGTATGGTCGTGAACAATTCTATTCTTGTGTACACACCTTTTAAGGATAGGCTTGGTGATTTTTCAAGCTCTCTAACACACGGGCTGAGATATTTTATTGCATGTGTTGCTTCATCGCATTTGCAGCTGATTTTGGGATATAGAGTGTTTTCCTTTCGTGTGTAATTAAGATCAATGTGTTTATAAAGATCTTGCCTTTTTCCTTCCTTTCATCAACTGTTGTCTGGACATCCGTTACAAAAGTAAGTGGTGAGCTTGCCAGGATCCCTTTAGTTATATTTTTATTCGTGTCCCACAGATTTCTGTTTGGCAAAAGAGCATGAACTTAATGAAAATTTTAGAGTTGGATGTATCGCTTGGTTTATTGGGGAAAGAAGTGATTAGCTTTTACGATCGCGAGCAAGAGAGGCAGAGAGATGAGCGAGCACAGGAAAGAAACCGAGAGGAGGAATAAAGAGGAGCAGTTCATCCTGAGTGAGAGGCGCACAGGGAATCCATACCAGAGACAAAACCTCCTAGATCTGTCCTTTCATGACATATGGAAGGACTTGAATGCATACTTGTACTGGTCTGAGTGCATTGCTTTAGATTGAGGTGGGGAGCAAAGGTCTGAGTTTGGCAAAAGCTATAGAAATTAGGGTGGGCATAGGAATGCAAATAGTGGATTTCTGCTGGGAAGAGCCTGAGGCTCACCACTGTGATTCTGTAAAACAGATGAATGATGACTATGAGAGCTGTATGAAAGAAAGCAAGGCAGTAATTAGCATAGAAAATGAGACAGACAAAAACGTGGCTTGTAGCTGCAACAATTCAATTGTTCATGAATGAAATGCCAAAGGTGTTGACCTGAGGGAACTGTTGCTTTCTTGAGTGGTGTCACAGTAATTGAGAGTACCACTTCAATGAAAGGGACACTTTAGTGCCCATTTGTGCGGATGCTGTTCTTTTGTTGCTTCTTTATGGTTGTATCATTACCAAGTTTTTCTTTTTTCCGTTTTACAACCAAAATCATGTTGTAAAGGCCACTTTGCAACCTTGTGTTCTGGTATTAGTATGTATTTTTGCTCACCCTGCTTGGAGTTTTGTCCACAGTATTTTATAAATAAATAAATAAATAAATAAATAAATAAATAAATAAATAAATAAAACATGGCTTGAAAGGTGGAAGCACGCGGCATACAACACAGCAACGACACAGCCTTATTTTCTTGGTTTTCAGAAAACCTACCCACACACAGGATGCTGTTTCCACTTCAGGTCGAACCACCTCAACTGTCACATGGCGCAATGCCTTGTTAGCAGGGTCAAAAGAATCTGCTCATCGCCACAGAGACGGAAGTAGGAAAGAGAAAATAGTCTGTGATCACTGCATCAATGGCTATACAGTAGTGTTTATTCGCAGAGCTCTCCACAAGAGAAAAGACTGGGAAAACATGACACCCGCATCGCTGCAACGATGACTCTGGGTCGATTCTGAACATCGCCAGCGCCATCCAAGTAATACCCCTATACTGCGAAAGACATGGGTCGATGTTGCCCACAAGCCAACCCCCTCCATCGGCAGCTTCATTTCTGGGCGCAAAGATCGCGCACTAGTGAAAAAAAACTCAGGGTGTCGTGTGCCCAACTGCGTGTGCCGACTGCCCCACTTCTTACACTGGGGAAACAGAGAGCATCCACGAAAAAATGCAGCAGCACAAGGATGACTTCATCAATTGAACATCGAATGGAGCACAGTAGCAGAACATTGTGAGTAGTTTGACCACCACATATATTCTGACAACGTGGTGATTCTAAAGAAAAGAACCCTCACCGACAGCTCGTCCTCAAATCCTAGCCCATTCAGCAGATAGCAACAAACATGAACCGCCCCACAAGGATATTGCCCTCCCCCTATTGCTGGGGCTTGCGACAAGTCATGGCAAGTGTCGCATGCACGGCAAGTAACTGTACATAAGCACCGCACATCTCAAGCCTTCTCACCCTTGAAAAAGCCAATCTAGTTTAGAAACATCAGGCTTTCCTAAAATAAATTTTGTTAAAGTTTTATTTCTTAGCCCCAAAAGAAAGCACACCTTGAGCAGTGGACCCTCGAGAACATCCAACAGGGGCCCAAACCGATCCAGCCGCTGGGCTTGCAGCAGCTGAGCCAGGTAGCAGACTGCCTGCTCTCGGTATGTACGGTTGTCACGTCGACATTCTCGCAGGAAGGCCTCCGAGACCTGGGGCCAAGAGGACACGGGTAATTGAACTGATTGCAAGGCTAATGTGTACACAGCATGAACCTCAAACACAGGTCTATTTCGAGGTGATTTGATTGCACTTTCAGTGCAGTGCACATGTGCCCTCAGTGCATCAGGATTTTAGGCCACGCATTAAACGCAAGAATAAGTGGTCTAATGGAGTGAAAATTTGGCATTTTTTTTGTGACCAACTTCTGCTACAATGTGCCTTTTCTTTAGGTGGGTCTAGTGATCTTTCTGGTCTGACATAACCCAGAAGATGTATTTCCTGCATGCCCAGAGAGCTCAGTTTCAGTACTGCCTGGATTTGGGCCCCCAATTTCGATAACTATCATTTTGAACTATGGGTGTTTTTCAGATGAAAAAACAATGAACATGCTTTCAATTGTCATGTCTTGCAATACTTCAATATAAATAGCTGCCCTCAAATTAATTAAAAGTTAAATTATGAGTCTGTTATTTCTCATTAAAGTATAGCTTTAGGTGCAGCCAAGCTTTCCGCTTTGGTGCACAGTTCGTTTGCAAAGATGACACAGGCCCAATAAACATAGCATTTTTATTTAAAAAAAACGTTTGGCTAAACAATAACGCCTTGTATAAATGAGCACATAACATAGCAAGCAGATTTCAATTTCTTTTTTGTGTGACCAATGCACGGCCATGTTCAAGACAACTCACTGCCCCAGGAGTGGCCAATAAGCTCACAAAATGATCTGCTGATTGAAATAGAGGGTCATAACTCTGCATTTCTCCCTTGTCACCTTTTCATTTCCGTCTGTAACTTTCTGCGCGGAATAGCCGATAGAAAATCAGAGGTGTGCCCACGCCCCTCAAAGGTGTACCTCATTGAGCAGAGCCTGCTGTGCCGATGGGCGGCCGCCATCCACTTGAGGTCCTGCACTGTGAGAATGGGAGGAGAAGACAATTTGTTTTTCCACATAATCAGCACTTTTTCTAAAATGAATCTAGAAAGCCACAGCACTCTAAGAGTTTTTCCAGCTTACAGAATTACCAAAGCTGTTTCAATAGCCACAATTCAGATGCGAAGATAATTCAAATATTATAGTTTGTGTGTGATAGAATAAAATATTCTTCAAGTAATTTCAAACAGAATTACACAAAAAAGTTGCATAGAATTCTTAAGCAAATTTTCATGAAATGGGAACATGCAAGGCCCTAATGTACGGTTTCTCAAAGTGGCTTTTATGAGCCATGGATAAATTTCTCCTGGTTCCGCACTTGCCAAGCTGCATAAATAGCACTGAACCTGAGGTGTGACCATCTAAGGAACATCTATCTCATGCCCGAGAGTCAATAAGAATACCTCAGCACGTAAAGGCAACATGCAAGCAGTGCAATAAATTCCTCCTACAGCTGTAATAGTCTGCTACACTCCAAAAACTGGCCGTGTGATTAAGTTATTGCCCTTGAATATCAGAGGCCTTTTTTATTAGAGGCCTTTTGCACATTTCTGCTGTTTGCAGGTAGGTGCTGAACAGTACACAGGTAGCTGCTATTTACAACAACATAGACTTCTGGGCAGACAATTCTTCACAGTAACTGAACTGAAAAGTAAGCACAACGATTGGCTGAATTCAGCATCTGACATGTGGCCGCAAGTGTTACTGAGCCTTACATAAATTTGTCAATGCAAGAATATGGAGATAAGTTGCATGTCAGTTAATCAATTTTTATATACCTATGCTTTTGAGTTTAATGAACCGAACGAAAAATGCTTTCATGAAAGGGGAGATCCCTTGTCACTTACTGGAGCTGTCTTGGCCAGCTGCCACGATAAAAAAGAAGTGAGCCGCGTGGCTCGGGATGCGCGAGCCACGAGGAATTCGAGATCGGCCTAGCTCCTTGCCTGGCTAGATGTTGCAGCTGCGACTCAGCCTACGCTCGCGTTCCAAATAAAGCTGTGGCCTCGGCACGGGCACATCGCCACTGTCTCGTCTCTCGTACCCAAACATTTGGTGACTACGCACGTAGGAACAAGCAACTGGCACAGCACCGCTGCCTCTGAGCTTCGCGGCTATGTTTCAGCCAGCTCAAGCCTTGCAGCTACACTTCGACCCGCCTCCACCTCCATTCTCGTCCTCCTGCATCGAGTCATGGTTCCAAGATCAAGGCAGCCTTGGAGCTCAACGGCATCTGGCTCCAAGAAATAATGTTTGAGGTACTGAATTACCATCTTCCGCGAGACCTCAAACGCCACCTCACATACTTCGTGTGGAGCTCTCATCTTTATGATCATCTGCGCGACGCTGTGCTCCAGTATTATGACACCAAACATCGCCTTCCCAAAAGCGACACCGCGATGCCTAGCTAATCATTATGAGATCCTCCCGCAACACAGCCAGTCGAGACTAACGCCCTGCCATCAACCCCAGGCTATGCAGGTGTCGGAGATCGCTCTGCCGCTTCACGCGGCCTGTTGACCGTAACGCCCGCCACCTCGGTGTCTCCAGTTTCCGTCTCCGAGGTCTTGACTTTGCCCCCAGTGCTACTTGCACCCCTTTCCGTGGCAGATTTGATTCCAGTTATGGCTCCACACACCATCGGATCAATCGTAGAGTCCTGTCTTACTGCACCGACTCCGGATTCGCCGATGACAGACGAGCCAGCTAATCCACCTGGTGACTTCTCGGGCCCAACCACTGAGCCTACCACTAAGACGATGATAACCGCGTACAACGCACCGGGCCAGCCAAAATTGCAACTACCCGCATATGATACAACAGCCACGCAAGCAGTCAATGATCATGCTGTTTGCGTGCGTGCTGCTCGTCACCGGACCTTCGAGGGAATACCACCAATGCTGCTTCAAGACCCAGTCCTACTGCAAAGCCTGTGCTTTCTCTGCGCACCATCCTCCTTAACGACCCCGGAAATAAGCGCCCCGACTCCAAATACGTCGACACCCGACCAAAGCTTCGCATGTCTCCTGGCTGTGCGTTAAAGACGGCGACGTCATTGTACCCAGAGTCAAGCGCACGGGCAGCTTTCCACCGGCCCTTCCGAAATACCTCAGAGTGCTGGCATTTAAGGCAAGAAGGCGCAAGTACGGTGAAGACACCCGCTGACATGTTGTCAAATTCAAAAGGCAGACAGGTATCGGTTCTCCACACACCAGCGGTTGGCATTGCGACTACGACATCTTGCGCAGCACCACAGCACCAACGCCGCATTTACAACACTGCCCTGCCACTTCCTGTGCAGCTCACCATCTACGGTATGCGTCAGGAGAAAATTACTACGCCACAATCCAGCCAATTTCGGCATTCACAGGTTTTTAGAACTACTGCGCTTTTATCTGCTTTTGACCATTGTACTTCACAAGGACACCTTCTGCACTCAGCGGGAAGGGGTGTGCATTGGCTCTTGTTTAGCTCCGGTTCTTAGTGACCTTTTACTCGCACGCTATGACAGAAGTCTCATGGCTAACCTTCATCAGAAAAGCACAGTTAAAGTGTTCCGCTACGTTGACGACTTTTTAGTGTTTTACCCCATCGACCAATTTGACCCTCAACGAACCGCCGGTGCGATTTATGACGTATTTCGGCATGAAATGAAGCAACTTGAATTAACGTTGCAGCTTATTTCTGATGACAAGCTAAGATTTCTAGACTGCCCAACGTGGGGCTCTTGGAGTATCGGACGACAGTTTTTGTGGTTCCATACAGAGATTTTGTTAGAGCAGGAGTAGAGTAGGCCTAGGGGGGACTTCTTTGCTAGCGTCGGTGGTGTGCTTTGTTGAGAAGCGAGGAGATTGGCTTTGTAACGTGTTTGAATTTGTCGGCAGGTTGACTTTCTATTTATTTATTTTTTGCTCGCAAGTGTTGTTATTTTTTGTTGTTGTTAGTTTTCAAAAACGTTGTGGAATTAGGACGAGAGCCATGCGGTCCGCATCCTGGGGTGAGCAAGGCCTAGAGCACGTGGTTTGTAGGCCAGGCCCGAAGCGAGTGAGTACGGAAGCCTCGTGGGTGGTCCGATTTTCTGTAAATAGCTTCTTCTATATCTTTGGGCTCAGGGAGCCGGGCGTCGTTGCTGTCTGGTATTGCGGCTCAACGCCGAGGCGTCGTGACACCGCCCGGGGTGGTGGACGCCGATCGTTCGGTAAGCTGCTGTGTGTGGCGAGCGATAGGGCCACCTCACAGAGTGGACGTCTCCTCGCGGCTGCCTCTTCTGCGCCTAGGCTGGGTGCTGGGTGGATGCCGGTTGTTGCCGAGCGACTCATTAGGCCTAAGGCTCTGCGCAGCCGCCTGTCGCACGTGGCACAACTAGGTGGATCGTGGCGTTGAGGTGTTGTGCTCTGCTTCCCTCACTTTTTTTTATCTTGCGATGCAAGGGTTAGGAAAAGTGATTTTTGTTTTATTTTGATGGGCGTCTCGGCCGCCACCGATGTATTAGCTAGCAGTACTGACCAACGTACCACGTGGACGAAAAGTTCGAAGCTCCCTTCCCGAGGACTTGCTCGATTGTTTTCTTTCAATTTTTTTGCTGTTGTTATTGATGTATTCAGTGGGAGGGATGTCATCTACGGCCGGCTGTCCTGCACATCGTCAGCGTCGCTGGCCAGGAATGTGGTCGTGAGGTCGGGCGATGGAGATGCCTGGGACCTGCGCAACTGCCTGCAGTCCGGCGCCCTCGCGAGTGCTGGTCGCAACTGGCAGACGTGTCGACGCTAGCGACGAATCGTCGCGCCGACGGCAATGTTGCTGTTGCGGGGCCGGTACTGAGGTGAAGGGTAGCCGGACAGTGCGGCATTGTCAACCAGCGGCGGTGTCATGGTGCAAGGACATTATGGTCGTGCGATATCATTTTTTTTTGTTAAAGCTTGTATAGCTAATTTTTGATTTCGGGATATGGTTTGATTTAAGGTTGGGGGAATGTGGGGGTGCTGACAACCTCCCTGTAAAGTTGTCTGCGCGGCGTGGCGCTCGTGTTTCGCCCCAAGGCTTTATTTCGGTGGTGACCACCGCCGGGCGATAGATGGCGTTGTGTTCGCTTTGAGTGCCACTGTTGGTAGAGTGGTAGCGCCGGCGGTGGCCCCTGGCAGAAGGCGGGCCTTGGTGGTGAGCGAGAGTTGAGCGAGCCTCTTCTGCGCGTGGCGGCTGCCGCGAATGGTTGTCTGTAGCGTGGGTCCCCGGTGCTCGGCACTGCGGGCTTCGCGCCGGGGTCCCACGTGGAAAGTCAGGCGTTGGCGACGCCGCCTTGGGTATGTGTTAGTGTGTGTTTATCATGTTATTGTGTGTTTAGTGTGTCACTGCGTTATGTTGTTTGTATGGTAGCGTGTTAATTAAAATTGATGTATCATTCGGCGGACGATATCGTCGTCTAAATTAGTTAATAAATGTATGTATGTTGTGTGCTTTGTATCGACCGCGTCTGCTGTGTCCGTTCACTCCAAGAGCGTGGCGTGGCGATGCGCTCGTTCGCCTCGGCGAGACCCCACAAAGTTCATCACCTTATACAAGCAGGTTTTCCTATACCCCTGCTAACTTCCATCGCCGAAACTCTCCTTACGTCACTAAGAGTGCCTGATAAGGGACAAAGCAACAGCCTACTCAACAAACCACATTCTAGCACGGCTGTTATTCCCTACGTACACGAGGTTTCCCATAGGCTAAAAAAGGTTGCTTGCAAAATGGCTCTACGAGTTGTGATCTGCGCACGCGACAAGCTCGCTGGGCTATGTCGCAGAGTTAATAATGAAGGACCTAAGAAAAAAGCATGCACTAAGAAACACGCTACACGCTATGTTGAATGTGTTTTAGTGATTGTACACAAGATATTGTTTATATGCGGGCTCTGTTACATTGGCCAAACAGGCCGTTGCATCAATGATCGCTTGAGGGAGCATGCTTACTCTCTAAAAGGCTCCGTTCTCAGCCACT